TGTTTCCTGTTTCTGAATTCCAGCAGTGGATAACTCTTGTATTCTAGCACTGTTATTTTCCAGCCCCTCTCAGCTGTTCTCAGTTTCTCAGCAGGAGTTAACTGTTGTATTCCAGTACTGTTAATTTCCAGCCCTACACAGCTGTTCTGAGATTACCGGCAAGGAATAAATATTCTTTTAAGGTACTTACTAGCTCAGCCCCTGCAAGCTGTTCTGTCATTTTTGATTTCCAGCTGGAGGTAACTGTTATTTCTAAGCACAATTATTTTCTGGCCTCTCTAGGCTGATTGGAGTTTTCCTGCTCAAGTTGACTGTTATTTTCTGTAAAACAGAATAATATACATAGGGACCCAGGCATGAAGTGAAGAAACCTTCCTTGGAAACCTTGGAAACAAGACAATGTTTTTAATTGCTCAGATCAAAACTGAAAATTTTAATTGTTTGTTGAAAACAATGTTAAATGTTACATAATGTTAAATGTTACATAATGTTAAAAATATCAAGGCCAACAGTAATTCTGAACACAAAATTTAATAAATTTGACACCTGTGGAGTATGTAGCATTGCTTATGAATGAGACAAGAATGTGCTTTTAAGTTTCCATCATACCTGAATAATGTCTGTGTAAAATTTGAGCTCAAATGTAGTATATTTAACTTTTAAATCTACTCCTGGTAAGTAACCCTGGCAACCCATCTTTACATGTAACTGCTAATAAAGTAACCCTCCATTTTCATTAAGATCTAAGTAAGTTTTTAAGGCCTTCCTGTCATTTCTTTAAAGCATGGCCTCACAAACTTTTTCTTTTAGCTCCACTGATAAAAACATTTAGGGAAAGTCAAATAATCAACAAGCACAAATAGTGCTTAAATACTAAGTTAGCAATTGACTGAGACACCCTTAGCACCACAATAAAAAAAACAAGAACCCTCAACTGGCTGAAACATGCATCATTCAGTTGCATACAATTCTTCCCACATTTCCTGATAAATTAACCTTTATTTAGCGCACACCTCTATAACACAGACACTAGGGAAGGTTCTTAGAGAGGTTACCTTTGATACTTTTTATAACTATAAAAGTAATGCAGTTTTAAGTGATTTAATTTTTGAGATACAGTTAACTAATTCTTCACTTATCACACAACAGCTGTGCAAAGCATATCAATTGTAAATAACAAATGTGGAGAGTTACAAATTACTTTCAGTACTTTATAGTGCAAGCAATGTGTTCCTTACCACCATTTTTCAGTGTTTTCTTTTCCATTTACATGTGGCTGTAATGAAAAAACAAATTCAAACAATTCTACCTCACTTCCTAAAGCAAGAAATTACAAGAATAAACAAGTGTAGAAACTTAGACATACTTAGGCTAGAACCCTAATTCAAAAATAAAAAAACTACCCCCTGCAAAAAAAAATGTACCACTGTCTTTGGTACCATCCTGTTCCTCCCCTATTTCTATTACACCAAACACATACCATTCTTTTGATGGGAAGAGGTTCCCCAGAAAGATCTATAACCAAATGGATAACCAAATGAACTAGATTTTGAGCACAGAATGCAGTACCTCACCAAACATCTGTAGGATGGCTCACTTAAAAGTGTGCATGATTATCATCTCTTGCTGAGATAGCACACTGCACTTCAATGTTTTTATTACTACACATATTGGGGCTTTGGTAAGATTGTGGAAAGGAGGGAAAACATTTGAGCAGCTGGGAGGGACAAAAATGACAGTGTGGCAGCCATTTATTCCCACTTGGATAGCAAAGTCTGGGGAACCTTTCCCTGGAAATTTAAAAGTTTGGATGTCCATTTTAGGCCACTATTTCTCAAGTTGGCTAAAAATTATATCTGCTACAAGAGAGAGTGAGGGAGAGTGTTGACACTGATTTAATGAATAGAGTAGCTTTTACATAACAAACTATATAAACATTATATACATAGTAATGATGTCTCATAGATGATGTCTGTGTGGTCTTGTTTGATTTTTACCTTTGCCTTGCTCAAAAATATGAAATTGTGCCCTGGACAACATTAAATTTGGGGAACAGTGCTGTGATTTCTGACACAGTATATTTAAAGCAATTACTGATGGCAAAGGAATTAATTGGTACTTCAATGATGAATGTAGAGCACAGCAATCAATGTAAACCATCATACCAAAAAACATGGTGACTGGTACATTCACCTAGAACTCTTTGCACAAGAAAATCCTGGAACCACTCAAAAAGTCAAGCAGAAAAAATTGGAAAAATTTAAAATTTGCATACATAATGTTGTTGTTTTGCGAAATATTGCTTTCTACATGTGTCTTACCCTAAGAATAAAGGTAAAATTTACAGGCACCATCTATGTCTGTAAGTGGATTGAATCTATTGGGTAAACACCAGAAAAAATAATAATATTGATACAAATAGGCTGAGGGTTTAGTATAGGTATGCTGTGGTTTAGTTTTATCCTAAGTTTATTCTTTTACTTTTAAAAGAGGCCAAATTGATAGTGACATATCATCTCACCATAACTTAGGCTAGGAGCTAAATTTTATCTTTCTCTACACAAAATGCATTTTTCATTCACATCATTAACAAAATCAAAGGAAACTGATTTTTACACCAAGGACAAGCACAACAGATACCTTTCATCTGCACTTTTGTTTACTTTGCTTTGCTGCTGGTTCTCATCCATGCCTGTATGAATGATATTAAGTAAGGGTGAAAGGATTGGTATTTTCTTCACAAAGATAGTTGCAGAGAGTGTCTCCATTGATATATGGATTACCAGACACTCACAATGAACTCCAACAAGACCAAGTTCTTGCTAACAAGTGTAGGAGCAATAATCGCTAATAATGGGCAATAGTCTGTATTGAATTAAGTATTCATTTGTGCATGAATTAGTATTTATTTCATTTTAATGTTTGTAACACACAATTGAAAAAGTATGTAAAATGTGGTAACAAAATACATATCATTGTAGTATTCCTCATAATTTAGTTCAAGGGGCTTTATTCTAAATAGATCAAAAGAAAGAAAGTAGATAGATAAATAGAAAAGCACATATTATTAAGTGATGAGTAATTTTGCTGCAAATTTGTGCCCCTCTGGGTGAGCAAAGAGAATGATGACCCAACTGTTACTTGCTGCTGAGCGTTAGGAGCCAGCACCCTATCCTTTATAAGAGACCAGATCTTCATCATATGTGTAAGCAGTTTGTAAGTTAACTTTCCAGGATATGTGAAGTTTAACATCGACCATACATCCTAGCTGAATTTTTGCGTAGCCCCATACATTTACAATGAATACATGTCTTCCACTGTACCCATAATAGCCACCAGTGTAGACACTATGAGACTGCTACATGCAACATAATACAAATTATTGAGGCTGGAAGAAAATCACAAGTTTTTGATCATTGAAACACCGAGAGCTGTCCTGGTTTTTAATCGACGTGTAATATCAAGTGTTGCATGTCCCAAACAAAATAAAAAAGTCAGTCCTCGACACAGAAGGATTCAATGAATCCAGGTATCGTGCAGCTACATGAAATCTACTGGAATTTAGCACAAAACTTGAACGCGATCTTTGAAGAATGGTTGTAATATTTAAAATTTAAAAAAATACTAGCATGAAGTGCAACGAAAACCTTACCTTATTGTACTAGCTCCAACAGAAAAGTAAGGAAAGCCATGAGGCAATGTCAAATTCTCGTCTTCCTAGGCTTTCCAACGTATGGAAGGAAATTTCCCAAATACCTCGCACTTAAAAACGCAACCAGAATCTTACTCTTTCACCAATCCGAAGCGTCCCAAAAGGTGTCAAGGATAGCCCACGAAATTCTCAAACTTCGAGCGCGGAAATCTTAACGATCTTTTTACACTTTTGCTTTGCATCCCTCCCCTAGTTGGGAAGTGACACGCAGAAGACACGATCACAACGCACTTTGATTGGAAGAAGTAAAACTGCATTCTATTGGTTATAATGTGTGAGGACATAACCACAACGGAAGACACGACTGCAACGCTACATACGTTCACCACCCAGACTCCATAAAATCAACACATGCCGGGTAAGTTTTGTATAAAAACTCCTTCTAGTCACAAGAGGCTATCTGAGTATCACTGTCTTTGATTAAAGCTATGACAGATCTTCGGGGTCACTCTTTTCGTAGGCTTTCGTCTTCCGCCGTTTTCTCGAGTCTTTTGCAGAAAGTTGCCTTCGAGAAAATCCTCATTATCATTAGCGCTGCAGAACGCGCGTTACTCCGCCCGCGGGAAGATTTGAGACGAGTTGGGGAGAAGTTTGTCGGGGGTCTGGCACTAACAATTATTATAGAGCTAGTGCTAGACCACTTGCAGACCTCCTGCCGGCTAGTCAGGCTAGTGTCATTCAAGGCCTCTTGCAGTTCCCGAGAGTAAAGAAAACACTCGTGCCGAGGCGCTGATACTGATGAGGGCCTGTTTGTAGGCTACTGGGTAAGGGGAAGGGTTTTTAAGACCAGTTCTTTCACGAACACTGAAAACCGTAGTCCTGATTCAAGTTTTTAGAGTCTAAACCAGATGTCTGACTTTCGCTTTTGTGTTACTCACGCTTTTGCTTCATTACGTAATCACCTATTGTTGACGGGAATATCAAAGACTTACTACTGTGCAAAGTTCTTTAGTAACACTCATCAAAAGTAAACCACTTTGGCAAATAGGATCAAATTTATCCAGTACGTGACGGCCTCTACTGTTTCCGGAAATGTCACTATTACACTAACCCAGATAACGGTTTGAAGCTTGGCCTCGTGAACATGGTATGAAGGTTAGAAATGGAAGGAAATTGTTCATTCTGATATTGAGAAATAAGTAATTTTTCAAAGCCTTCTTCTGCAAACCCATTATTTTTTCATGTGTTGTAACTTGGCTACAAAGAATATCAATTTATTGTGGTTCTCTCCACAATCTTAGATTTTTTTTTTGTCTTTAAAACGGTCATAGATTGCGACGACTTGACATAGCTGTCACCATGTTTGAATATCGGAACCCTTGTGCTTGGTTTACAAGCCGTAGAGAATATTTCTGGATCGGCCCCGTTTGATCCGCTGTTAAAAATGCAGTTCTTTATTTATATATACTCCTTTTGGCAACGTCAGGCACAACAGTTAATAGTCCTTAGCGATTAAATTTGTTCCATCGGTTTACCTCTCAATTAATTTATTTCCGTGTTTTATCGCAACTCGATCAATAATGGTTGAAAGTCGGAAAATCACGATATGAGAGTATCATGACGACTCCGTCACCACCTCAGGTGGCTCTCAGACGAATTCGTAGTCGTCTAGTCGGCAAGGCCAGTCGGGACTCGAGCCTAACGGGAGAACTTTGTCCGCAAGTTCGTGACAAATTTAACAACCACCTTAGTTTTCACCCTTTGTTTAACAGTCAGACTTTGGCCGACGACAAGAGCCTGAGAGAGCGATATTCTTTGGCTATCAAAGAGAACAAACTATAAAAGTAATACTCAATGACACTTCTCACATAAAGAGTGCTCTTTCAAGTCTCCCCAGACGACAAGTGGGCGCCAATGATCACACCCTACGGTTTTGACATGAAACGTTACAAGAGAGAACTTAAAAATTCTTTGTAAAAAAACTTTACTTTTGTTTAACCAATATTTTAAGTTTTAAAACAATTAAGTCTCAACAACTATTTTTCAAAACAGGAAAGCTGAGCTTATTACGTTAAATAACGGTTGTGATGCCGAGGCAATAAATAATAATCTGTGTTCCGAAAACGAACTAAGAGTGTGTGCAGAAAGCTTATCTAGAAAGTTCAGTAGAAAACGTCCCTTATAAATAACACGACATTATTTGTAGAAACACTATATCAATATCTTAAATAGTGAAAAAATTAACAGTGGGCTACAAAAGAGTAGTAATATTGTTGACCATTATGTTGGTATCAAGATTAGTTTGGGCTCTAAAGAATTTCACAGCATCATCAACCACTGCATTCTAAAACTTTAGTAGAATCCTACAACTACTTTCTAGCTTATCGTTTAAGAATTGATGTAAAACTTGGCTAAGAATATAAGAGTTATCTAGTCTCTACGAGAAAAATGCTTTTAATTTACGAAATTAATTTACGGACAGAAAATTCATTTTACATCATAAATACTTTTGGGTTGTATAGTGAAATTTTCGAATGAAATTTCATTTCATTTGTAAAATTTCGCCTGTAATGTACTAAGTTGCTATTTACAATTAACGATAACGATTGATTTAAAATATTCGTGTCACTGGAGTGCTTTAATTCAAAATTTCCTAATGAAATTCGTCCGAGTCAGTCTTCCAATTGTAACTGTGGAAGTGGCCGGCGATTTACAACAGGAGGTAAGCTTTCTGGTGAAGCGCTTTTCGTCTTTTTCTTTTTCTTCTTCTTCGGAATTGGAGCATCTACAGTGTCTTGTCCTTTCGCTACATCTTCCGGTTTAATATCTTTCGTGACAACCCCAACAAGTTCACATTCCTCATTATTACTTGTCTGTGAATTCACTCCTTCACGAACTTTCCGTTTTTTCCTCTTCCTGGGACTTGGTACCAGTTCCTCGCCTTCATCATCATCGGCTAAAGTCATCCCACTAGGCCCCGGTCGGGCTGATGCTGTGTCAGTACCGTATTGGTCGACAACAATTTCCGCAGGTTGCTCTAGCTTAGAGGCCATGTTTGCGATTGCCGGCTGATGAATTGCAACCCGTGGGGTAGTGGATGTGATTTCCTTCAAGGATTCCTCTGAACCTGAAGGCTCCGTCATGCCCAGTGGCGAATAATCTTTGATTACTGAGGGTTGTTTAGACACTAATTCCTGGTCTTGTGATTGTTTATGGTCAACACTGGATCTGTGATGTTTAGCAGCGGCCTGAAGTGATTAAAACAGTAACAGTAAGAATAAACTGATAAGAGAGGGTAGTTTTAATGTCGGTACCAGAGACTTTCTGTTAATATACCAAATAGAGGTAAGAAATTAAACTCCTGACGCGCGATTTTATCTCATCAGCTGCACAGAGGTAAATAGAACTAGCCACTCACTTCCGAACTAACCAATCAGCGTGCGCGTAAAGCACGATGCCCTTGTGTACTAATAATGGTTACGATAATGGTTACAGTGGAGGCAACGACCAGAGTTGAAAAAAATATTCAATACACCTCACAACTGGCTAAGTTGAACCGATAGTGTAAATGGGAACTTATTCAGTTCTGACTGGCTAAAAAGGAATGAACTTCTCATTAAACAATGACATAGCAAAAAAGTGAACTGAACGAAGTCTCTGAATTTCTTTTGGCATCCAAAAACCCCTCATGACAGATCGCGAAATCGGTATTCTTTTGTGCTTGGACCAAATAATTTTGTGCTATTTAGACTAATTCTCGCTAAAACAGAGATGTTTGATCTCATTCTCTAGGTTGGAATAGGGTCTACTAGGCATACCGAGCACATCTACTCACTTTCCGGCAAACAAATCGGATACACACCTTAGAACTGACTTCACTTATGAACTTGACAGTTGTCTCAACAGGGAGAGAATCCTCTGATACCTCGGACCTGCCATGATCACTTATTTCAATCCTTAAAATATTAAAGAAGACAAAAAAATATCACTCTGTTGTAGGAGAATTCCAGTACACAGTTACAGTGTCAAAAAGATCTAGGCCTATGATATACATCTGTTGAAACCTCTTTACTCCAATACTTTAAGTCAACTTTGCTATAGAATCTAAACTGTCAAAGGTCCCTAACATCTGAAAGCATTCTTAGGGAAATTGCAAAATGAAATTGCTGTTTGCATTAACCATTTAACCCCTAAGAGTGATTAGTATCTAATTTCTCCTTACAATATCATCCCTGAATCACACATTTAGGATACAAGAATAAAGGAAATGATCAAAAACTAAAGCTCTTGATTGTTAAACAAATTCTCCTTGTCAGCCCCTTAGGAAATATATAGAGCATAGTATGGAGAGTTTGCATACTGATGTTAGGGTGTAAAGGGTTAACTTGATGAGACTCACCTTGGAGGTTCTGCATTCTCCCTCCTGTCTTCTTCAGGTTTCACTTTATTCTGTGAATTAAAAATACAAGAAAATCAACTGAACAATCTCACAACCAGAAAGGAAAGAAGAATACCCAATGATTTCACCTCAACAACCATGACACTTGGGAAGGCTGGACACTTCATTTACTGCTACATGTGAATGTTTTGAGTAAATGAGAAAAAAAACCAATGAAAAAAAAAACCGCTGTACAGATAAAAGGTTGGAAAAAGAGGGAGAGGTCAATTAGGTGTGTTAATTCAAGTCATGAAGTAGTTCTTCCCACCCTTAGCAGCCATGTTTTATTTCTTTTTTCAAATGATCAACACAGTTTTTTTGATATTCCCAAAATGCTCCCACATAATATGTTGACTTATAACTGACTTGTACAAGAAGATAACTCAACTTGAATCTAACAGAATAATGCTATAAGTACAGGTAAAACTCTCAGCTCTTAATTACCAAGACCTATTAGAAACTGCCAGATATGGCTTGCATAACTGGAAAGTTAGCAAATATGAGACAAAGCAGTGTTAAAATACCTTAAATAATTTTCTATTTGATGGTGACTTTGCGCCTGCTTCAACATCAGTGACACCAGCTTGGCTATCTCTTGAATTAATAATGAACTCGTATGTGGATATTCTATGACACACTGTTTAAGAGCACAAAGCAAATGGTTCAAAACCAATACATAACTTTGTCATTACTAGAGAAGTCTGTGAAATGAAACATACCCCAATAATGCACATAAGCTGACAGGGCAATCACTAGGCATTAGATGAAGGAGAACTTTAAAGAAATGTCAATGGACTCCAGATCTGGTTCGCATTTAAGTGTGGAGAATATTTACATAACTTGATGACCATGCCGTAAACTTCCCTTAATAATATCAAATGTCAATTTTAACTTGACATTCAACAATATAGTTGAGCATGGAAGTTATTATCA